ATTATCAATAACTAGTTATCTACGCAACTTTATAAACTTTACTAACAATTAGTTTTTGATTAATTTCGATCACCTGTTTAAATTGTATACATAATATGTCTTACACAGTGAATAATTGTTATGCAAACAGAACAAGAGCATTGTGATTTGTATTACACAGGATTCTACAACGATTTTAAAAGAACTAGAAATTAAGCTCAGTCATGAATTTGTTCTCTTATCAAAAATGATACATGACTATTCACATCCAGATGCATTGATATCTTCCTGTTGTGTGCTTCTTTCATATAAGCCCCGGTAAAAAAAGGTTTCGATTTAGAACCAGTTTGCAACTAATAACTATGTACTCTTAACTACAGAAACAGACAAATAAGGTTGTTGAACATCTGAAAGATAGCCAAAGTGATTTAACTATTATCTTCGCCCCATGTTTAACAAAATTTATCTACTTTGTCTGTATGTTGTAAATATGTTTGCAGGTCATACAAAAATAATGTTATGTTCTCTAAGTAAATTAGAAGAAATGTAGAGGTACAAAGAAATGGAAACAAAATTTTTATCCTTGTAAATTATATTCGACGGGAAATGACATTGAAAAGTTAACTGAAAATTGGCAACATACATTTTTGGGCAACTTAGCTACCAATCATTGAAACAATGCAGCTTTATATTTCCACAGAACCTTATTTCAGAATGATGGCTTCGCTCTAATATATGCTAAATATATATCAATATACGAATCTACATAAATAACACGGTTGTGTTTGTTTGTCCGGAACTTTTTTCACAAATTTCTTGATCAAATGCTACAAATCTCATACAGTTAGAAAAGCCTTTGTCAGAGGAGTCTGGATTGAATATTGGCTTTTCAAGTAAGAATCAACTTACCTGTTTTTTGCTTAGTCAAGCTTTTTAATACAACGAATATGCTACACAATGGCACAATGTCGTTGTCATCATGTGACAACTGGCTTCGATTTCAACTTTAGCTTTTTTATTTGCAAAGTATTTCACTAAATAAAATTTCCATGGGTTTTCTTGCATGCGCATTTTCTTCAAAAAAATATGTTTATCGATTTGTGAACACGCATTCAGACGTTTCTGCAGTGTCAGCTAAGTTTGTCTTCATTACAACTTTACATTTACTTTGCAATAATTTAGATTCAGCTCGTTTCATAGACTGCTATGAACACCTTTTAATTAAGTTTTCTTTACTAATGGTTTTATTATTCATTTTTAAGAGTTTCTTTGTTTGAACTCGTAAAAACATGTTATACTCTGAATGCTCATAGCTGTTTCATACTCTGTACACCATTATAAATACCATTACTTTACTTTATTGTTTAATTTACATATAGTTTTGTTGAATAAAGTTAAGTCTACGCGAGTTTGTTTGTCTGACAGCGTCAATTTGTTTTTCAAATATACCAGTATTTATTGATCTAACACATAATGCTTGCAAGAAAGCATAGTTTAAATGATAGAATAAGTAAAGTTCAAGCAAAGGGCATGTAAAATACCGCAAATGTTTTGCAAATCGTGGCTAATGTATAGTTATTAACATTTGACAAGAAAATTACACTTGCTGGCAAATGGCACGTAGGTCTCACAATTAGTAGTTCCATCCTTAGAATGTTCTAATACGCCTCCCAGAGCTCGATTTGAGAGATTTCAACCTCTCCTCATATGACAACCCATCCATCCCAGGCACCATTATAATAACCCTTCTCTGAACCCTTTCCAACAATTCAATGTCTTTCCTGGGGTAAGGAGCCCAAGACTGAACACAATATTCCAAATGTGGTCTAACCAGTGACATATGAAATTATAACCTCTTTAGACTGTATTCAATATTTCTGTAGTTAAAACCTAAAATTTTATTTACCCTACCACTAGCAACAGCACACTGCATAAATAGCTTTAGAGACTGATCAACTTTTACACCAAGACCCTCTTCTTTCATGACACTGTTAAGGTTATTCCCATCTAAATTATACTTTATTAAAATTATGATAACCCACATGCATTATCTTGCATTTATTATAATTCAAACTCATTTGTCATTTATTTGTCCAACTCACTAAATGATCTAAATCCTTTTGTAAATCAGCAGCATCCTCTTTACAGCTAGCAACACCCAATACCTTGATATCATATGCAAATTTAAGTAATTTATTGACTATCCCTTCATCTATGTTATTGACATAAATCAATAAGAGCAAAGGTCCTTAGACTGAGCCCTGAGGTTCCCCACTTGTGACTTTAATCTATTAATCTAATTTGACTGAATTCCATTTGTAACAGACCTCCAATTTATTCCATCCAGCCACTTTTCTTTCCAATTTGCTAAATTATCCCCAACACCTATAGAGATGATTTCCTTTACAAACATTTTAAGTGACACCTTGTCAAATTATTTCTAAAAATCCAGATACATGAAATCTACACTCTTACCCTCATCTACATAAGCAGTATCCTTTGCAAAGAATGTCAAAAGATTTGTAAGGCAAGATTTTCCCTTAGTGAAACCATGTTGACTATCGAATAAAATTCTAAGCTTTGTTAAATGACTTTACAAAATACCTTTTATCAGACTTTCAAAAACTTTTCCCACAACTGATGAAAGACTAATGGGCCTGTAATTACTGGGACAATTTTTATCACCTCCCTTGAAAAGAGGTGTTACATTAGCTAACTTCCAATCCTCTTTTACCTGCTCACTATTCAAGGACTGACAAAGAATAGTAGTAAGTGGCTCACATATCCAATCTTTAACCTCCTTCAAAACCCTTGGGGAAATATTATCTGGCCCAGGAGCCTTATCATTCTTTAAACTTTCCAATTTTTTTCTTAAATAGCTCCGAATTAATGCAATAATCTTGTTTGATTCTGTTTCCAGTTGTCAACTGTTTAAGATGTGGAATACTGCTTGAATCTTCATTAGTAAAAGTCGAAGAAAAAGCAAAATTTAATAACCCAACCATCTCATAATCACCAGATGCAAGCCTTCTTTTATTATCCCTAACATTTTGTTTACCGTTAATGTATTTAAAGAAATCCTTACTGTTAATTTTTACATTTTCAGCTAACCTTTTCTCATACATCCTTTAATAACCCAACCATCTCATAATCACCAGATGCAAGCCTTCTTTTATTATCCCTAACATTTTGTTTACCCTTAATGTATTTAAAGAAATCCTTACTGTTAATTTTTACATTTTCAGCCAACCTTTTCTCATACATCCTTTTCGATGCCCTAATTTCCTGTTTCACCAACTTTCTTGATCTTCTAAATCTCCTATCATACTAGTCAATATAAATTTCTTAAATTTTAACACTTAGTCTTTGTAAGACAACCTAGTTTTTTACTTGCAGTTACCATTTTCTTTCAATAAGGAATATGTTTACCTTGAATATTTAAAAATTTATCTTTAAAAAATGACCACATCTGATCAGTGTTTCCAAATAACTCAGCTGCTCAATTCACAACAGATAACTCTTGTCTCATCCCTTCAAAATTCAAGAATAGCAATCCAGAAAGACGACACACACAAACCAAAAATAACAGGGCCAACACTTAACCAGCAAAACCTCTAAAAACAACAAATAATGAAATCACAAATAATAGTGAAACACCACACAATACAATGACTCAGATTCAAAAACTCCTTTAGTAAAACCTCCAATAAATATCTTCACAGAATTCATTGCTTAATTCCAAAACCCAGGCAACATTAAATTCTACACAACACTTTTAATATACATGAAAAACACTTCACACCACTGATACCATACCTACTACAAACACTTATGGGTTCTTTCTACATAAAATCATTGTCTTACATGTGAATATCAAAGGCAGACTTGCTTCCAAGAGATATGATTGAATACATTATAAAACACAGAAATGCAGATCTCTTATTGATAGCCGAGACCCTTATTACTACATCATCAAACCTAAAATACCTTGGTTACTCAACTATTAGAGATGATCATAAAAACAATAATGACCCAAATCGCAGCATTGTCGTTCTGTATAAATTCACACTAGCTATAAGAAAAGTATAATTTTCTAATATAAATGAATGTATAGCTACAGATGTAAAGCTTATCAATAACAATAATATTATTTTGTTATCTACTGTTCCCAATCAAGGGCATTAGATATCACTCTGCTTACAGATACTGTACACCACAACACCAACTATGTAGTGATAGTGAGTCTTAACAGTAAATATACTACATTTGGATGTAGTAAAACAACTGGGAATTGCATTGAATTGCTAAATTTTATATATGATTCAAATTATGTATTAATAAATGATGCAACTCTGATTCACACCTGTTTCACATATAATACTAGTGATATCCTAGATATTTGTATAACCTCAACAGAACTCAGCCAAAAATGTACTAGTTTTCAAGTATACCATGATCTGGACAGCAACCACTTACCCATATGGTGTGTTTTTTGTAATTTTTCTATTGGTTTTAGGTGCACCTCAAAAACATCATATTTATAACGAAACATTAATTTTCTTTGTGTATCTGAACTGGAAACCTTTAAAGATTTTACTTTTGATAATGAACACAGAGATAAAATATGTTTCTAATTGATACTTCCTTCAGCTGGTGTAGTAACATCAGTGACTGTACATAGATAACTAGGCACATAGAGATACCAGTTTCCATTTTTTTAATAGTAACATGTGCATAAGCTTTTAAATTTAACCTAAATACATACAAGACATATCAAAATTTTAGCAAACACTTTAAGTACATTAACTGATGAGTTAAGGGATGGGGTTGTTTCTTGATTCACTGACAAGGGGTGGATCGCCCCTTGAATCACTGCCAATCCAAATATTTCAAGCAACATTAAGTGGAAAGATGGGATTGTTCTAAGAATCATTAGAAATCCAAGTAACATTAGTTGAAGAGATAAGGAAAGGGATTGTCCCTTGAATAACTGGCAATCCAAATAAAACATGAAGCTTGTGTGTGTGACTAAAATCACATATATTTATTTTCCAATAACTAAAAGCTAGAGGGTTTTCGTCCCATTAACAATACGTGTATTACTTTGCATGTGACAATGGTATCATCTGTTGGTGCATCTAACTCCAAAGCATTGGCAAGTCTGTAATAAGAAAAGGAAGTAAAGCATTATAAAAATGTTATTAAAATGGAATTGTATCTAGTGAATAAAACAATGATTTCAAACTGATTAGACCCAAATTATGACTTGTTTCTTCAATTACTTATGGATTTGTAAAATTTAAAACCACTAATGACAAATGTTGCAGAAAAACTTAACTAAGACACTGATTTTAACCAATCATCACTCTTATGCTTCAATTTCATTTACTTATTAAATAACTTAGCTAGTATCATTACTTAAAAAAAAGTAAAGTTAATAAGATATGGAAACACAGTTCCTATCTGAGGTACTATCTGCCATTTTCTTTGTTCTTTGTTTCTCTGCTGTAAGCCAACAATAAAATTTGTATATTTGCAGTATCTTCGATTTTGGTTGAGTTTCATTTACTTTAAATAATGTTATTGTCATATCTCACTTTGCCCATGTTCAGTGGGTATTTTCCATTACTAAATCAAAGTTTTATTTTACTTAGTTGTTTTATTGTATTTTTAATATTCCACAGTGATCGTTTTTATGTTTCGTTATTGTGAATCACATCCAAGTCTTCAGTATCATTTCTGTAATTTTGATTTTTAATTCATAACAGAAATGAATGTTTTTGCTCAGTATTGTGGTGTTATGTGTTATCTGTGCCAGAACACAAGAAACATATGAAATTTTTTTATTATAGTACAAAACATTGCAATATACTTTGGCTTCTCACAAGCATCATCATCATCATCATATCCAGAAGGTTTAAGCAGATTATTATGATCATTATTGACCAAATAATTTTTGACCAATCATTTGAAAATCATGAAAAGCTTATAACAATATAGGACAAAATTTACTTAAGGTCATTTTGTAAAACAAATTAATTTAGAATTGAGCAGTACATTGCTTTTGAATTGATTAACTATATTCATCTTAAGATCATTCTACTCAAAATATAAAATTATTGTATGAAAACCATTAAAAGAAAATCCGAAAGCCATGCCATCCTCTTCCCAGATTTTGTATATTGAAGTAATATTATTATTAAATATTAAAGATGTTCCTTAAATACATTCACGTTTTGCTACCTTAGCTTATTAATTTAAGTGATAAGATTTGTTATTTATTTTCCATTCAAACACTGAGGACTGCTAAGAGAAATTTTGCTTACTTGTATCTGAAATCTTTGATTAATTCATCTCCCTTCTGAGGATCCTCTTGAAACATTCTTTGAACCCCTGACCATGATGTTACTTGTCCAACAATATCCCCAAAAGGCCTTGAGAAAACCAGGTTAATAGGGAAGATTCTGGTTTAAAAAAAAAAACAGAAGAAATTAGGAAGCTTTTCTACAAGAAAAATCTAAGATACATAATAAGTAACTTATTTATTTTCAAATACTAAAATACGTTTTTAAATTCACATAATTAACTACCAGAATTAGACATATCTTTTAAAATAACATAAACACAACTCAGTATATGAATTATGAATGAAAAATTCCCAAAAGTTAAAATATGTCCAATATTATTTGGCATTGAGCATAAATGTAACTTCTCTCTCATAATCAAAAAAGGCATATCAACATATACATTTTTTTGAATTCCTACAAGTTTGTACATGGATCAGGTGAACAGGCACATCTGCTACATACTTGTGAAGTTCTTACTTAGAGCTAAAAGTTTACTTTCTTATCAAATATTTCCTCTCTGTGAGCACATTATGCAGTTGACATCATAAGCAAGGAAAGAGATAATATGTTGACATTTCATCTTTTGATTGGTTTAAAAATAAACATTCAGTCTCATTTATTGCATCAGTGTGTTTCAAACTGGTGAAATCTTGCAAACCATGCCCTTCTGTCTTCTTTATGTCAGCCGAACAATGAGCAGCTCCTGTCTATGTTACACTATCACATTTCTGTTAATCTCTATCTCAGTGCAATGTCTCTTATAGAAACATTTCTTCCATCTACCTCCAGATTCAATGTGTTGTTTCTTATTCTCATTTGAGCAAAGGTATAAATATAGATTTGTTTCACTGTACTCACTAATCCCAACCTTTCACTCTAGCAAAACATAGACCTTTTGTCTCCAAACTTGTACAGCTGAACTATTCATTCCTCTACCTATTGCAGGTTTCTGATTACCCCTTTGTTCCTCTGCCTACTGCAGGCTTCTGTTTATTCCCTTCATCCCTCTACTTTTGCAGAGATCTGATCACCAATAGCTCTAATAATCTAATGATGATGACCATATCAGATGTAAAAAAAAATCACATTAAGAATATATACACTCAGTTAAAGGATAATTGAACTTTTCACCATTCAGTCAAAATAAGCTTCATTATTAAATGTGTCAACTAGTTTAATACAGTGGAGGTAACTGTTATCATCCACTGCATGAAGTTATGGCTAACTGAACCAGAATAAAGCAGCACAAAACATCAGAAGGATGTGGTCCATGTTATGTAGCACTAGTGGTACTATTCCAGAGGATAAGAGTTTGGTACAATCACAAATGCTTATTCCTACCCATGTCATACTTCCATCATACCAACATTCATCATGTTCCTGCACAAAAAGAATGTGATTCCAGCTTCTATTAAGATAAACATAACTGTTATATGGCTGCAAGGTGATGTGTATCTGACCTGTAAAAACAATACCATTCCACTTGTTGTTGGGTCACTACACTTATTTTTAGCACAATTTAAAATTAGTTTTTTTTTTATGTGTTATTGTAGGTGCCTAACATACAGTTTGACTTTGTGAAATTTGTTCTCAATTTTCAAGTCATCAAATCCAGCTGTGATTAAAAATATGTGATTCAGTCCAGAAGCAGAAGTCAAAATTTACAGATAGTGATTTCTATTGTGGATGTTGACTTTAAATGTTAAAACAACATAACTTGGTTGGCAAGTGATTTCACATTCTGCTAATTATAATTTGACACACTTTAAGCCAACTTACAACAGTCTTCTGCATTTGACAGATTTTAATTTGGTTGATAGCACTTTTACACTAGTGAAACATGCAAGTGCCTTCTTTGAGACTTAGCCTTGCTTCATGAGCAACTTGAAGTACTTTTCAACTTTGTGATTCATTTCAGGCAAGTGTGTGTTAAGCTACTCTATATGTATTGTTACGTCTCTATTCGTTTGTTAATTTTCCACAAAAATTCTTTCCGAAGAAACTTCAGCGATACAAATCCTTTCTTAAATAAAACTAGTTTATTCTTTCTCAATACAACTTTGCAATATACTTAATTTCCACAGTCACGCTATAACTTAAACAAACGCTATAATTCACAACGAAAGATTCACGCGCTTGACTCAATTGTCAGTCTCTATCTCTGTCTGCAATTCAATTCCCCATTGTTGCCGTCACTTCTTGGTGGTCTTATATACAAGAATACCGCACATCTAGTAAACACTCGAGCATTCAAGAACCTTTGAGAATATCATGACGTGTTACTAGCGTCACGTGACTTACGCTGTCGTAACACTGCCCCTTCCTTAGTATTGTTCGTCCCGAACAATAGCCACTTAAATTAAACCAATAGATAATTAACAATAACTTAATTAAATGTACAGAATTTATAAACACTACAAACACAAAATTAAAATTCAACAAAGTCTCTTAATTTTACGGGACGTATCTTCTTCCGTACTGGTCTCCATCTCGTTGGCTTCTGCTTCACGTGAGGTTCATCTGCTCCATCGGGAATTGTCCTATCATCGGTAACAATTACATCAGTGGTAGTAACTTCATCGAGGGCTTCACTGTTTCCCTTCTCAAAACTGAGTAGAGTTTCTTCTTCGACAGTGGCTTTTTCAGGTGACACGTCTTCAGCAGTGTCATTTGTTCCATTGTTCACTTTATCCCAACTGAAATGTTCTGGACCGTGATAACTCCAAAGCCTGTTGGCATGCACTACCTTTGGCTTACATCACTGACCACATTTTATCCGGAAAGTCACGTCTGAGAGACGATCCACTATGTCATATGGGCCTTCCCATAGAGAAGACAACTTATGAGACTTCCCTTTGGTCTTCCTGGGATTATACAACCACACCTTGTCTACTGGTAAAAAACTGACTTCGGTAGATCTCTTATCATAAGATAACTTCATCGAATCAGCAGACGTTTTCAAGTTTGAACGCACTTTGATTGTGAATATTATCCATCGCTTCCGATAACACTTTCACGAATTCTGACACATTTTCATGCAACTCTTCATAAGGTGGGCGTCCTGTTAACAGATCCACTGGCAACCGAAGTTCCCGACCAAACATCAACTTTGCTGGAGTGTCTCCAGTGGATTTATGCTTTGCTGGCATCCCAGTCATCTTGGTGGCTATTACAAAACTTTGCCAATTCCTGTTCCAGTGTCC